ATCGTGGTTGACGAGCCTCTTGTTATTGCGGGCGCCGCTTTGTGGATGAATCGGGCCCCCAAAGTTCCAACCGCGCACCCTTCTCCTCCCGAAATCGTTCACAACTACCTCACCACCCTCCGGCGCGACCCACCGCACCCAGGGAAGACATGCGCCAAGTGCCTTGCCTTCTACTTTTCCCGCGCGTTCCAAGCCGGCGCTGTCCGACATCTTCACATTCCACAAACGCGTTCCCGCGTGGCCGAAGCAGCCCGCGGAGCTTGTGGAGCTTGTGGAGCTGTATACCACCGAGGATGGCCAAATACGTTACTCCGTCATCGAACAGCCTTGATGTGGGTCCCCTTGCTACGAGCGCGCAAGGTGTGGGCGAAATCGTGCCGTGGATGGCGCACAAGGATCGCACACCGTTCTGCATCCCCGCGGCCCCGAATCCCGATGTGCTGTTTGTTTTGAAGCTGGCGGATGGATCGTTCCTCTGGGTCATCGTGCAAGGCACGCCGGCGATGAGCGACTGTAGCGATCTACTAGCTTTTCTGGAGGAGGACGCCTTGTTCTGCGACGGGGTAACGTCGATTCCTTCGATACTTTTCGTTACTGAATCTTAGATTTGCAGGCCCACGATCCCGAATCCTCCGCTCACAAACGCGCTTTCGAACTCCTGAAAGCCCCGCCCAGCGGATCCGATACCTCGACAAACAAGACACCGACTGTGCTTCGTGTGGTCGCCTCGTTCAGGGACCAGATCGAGCTCCACGGCCAGAGCAAGGTTGTGCGAGCGAGCCTTGCCCTGGACATGTTGCAGAAACTTACAGCTGTCATATCTCCCTCAGAGATCGTCGAGAGCTTCGTTGCGAGTGTCCTGGGCAAGAGGAAGGAAGGCCCTGTGGTGGGCAAGGGAGAGGGGCGGAAAAAGAAGCGGAAGAATTCATTCCCTGTGGCCGCGGAAGAGGAGCATGAGCAGCCCGAGAAAGGTAGTAGAAAAAAGAAGGCGAAAACGCCCGAGCCTAGTACGCGGGTTCTCCGGCCTCGGCCGCAGACAAAGGAATCCCCTCAATAGCAAGGGCACAGCCAAGGCAAAGTTTCCGAGTCGATAAATCCGATCCTGTAATAGGAGCTTTTGTACCAAGCAGTAGCGATGAAGTGAAAAGGCACATTCATCCGGCAATCGAGAAAATAGCAGTGGGACATGGATTCGGCTCACGAATAATCAAGACGCAGTCTGTTGCTGTTGCTGCAGCTTGGACTGCATTACATTGACTAGATAATTCATGTTATCCCGCTTTTTACTTATCGTTTCTTCGAGAGTCTCCAGATTGGTCCGGATGTACTCTACTTTTGCAGTATAATGCTTGAGAGCTTGCTCGCGCGTCTAGCGACCGGAGATTCAGTAGATGGACAAAGATGGCGACAATTTAGTACCTTTTGCACAAAATAACCTGTACCAACGTCCACGATTACATGGTCTGGGTCAGACAGCTTCCCGGGAATGTAGAGCGAGTTTGTTAATGGCACGAGGATGGTTTTGCCTGATCGGACATACGGTCAATCGCACGGAAATCGGCGAGGAGATAAAACTACCTTTGTTTGCTGGTTTTATCTCGGCCACATTCTCGATGCACGCCTTGAATTTCGCCTGTGCTTGTTTGAGCTGCGCGAAGGAGTTTGTGAGGTGATTCAGTTCCTAGGTTCCGACGCGATCAGATGGGTTTTGCGCGCCCACAACTTCCTATTCTTCACCTCTTCAAGCTGCCTGCGAACGTCTGCGAGCTGAGACACGTCCAAGTCGGTAACGCTGACTTGCTGTGGCTGCGACATGAGTGGAGGAGAGGTCACAGTGCGTGACTCGGATGTGACTCGCTTATTGTACCTTCTCTTGCTCCACGACCCTCATTTTCGCCCATGTCCTCCCTGGACTCCAAGGGACGGTATCCCCAAGATATAGGTGCGAGATTATCGAGGCCACCTTTCGCGCATTGTTTCTCATCGATCCATGCGTAGTTGCAATCTTTCATGCGTCGTTTCATCCCACACAGGGAAATATAATTGACTGGTCATTGAAGGCTAACGATGGTGAGCAGCGCAGTGGAGGAGTTTCCGAGTCCAATCCACAGTCTAACTGGGAGAAAATCAGACCTAAATCTCGACAATCTGGAGTTTAGTGCCCTTCCGAGTGGACTGCATCTGGTCGAGGAGGATGTCGTGTGCGTTTGTGCTCTGCCTTTCCCTCTAATCAATGTATCGTCGCATCGTTGGCCTGGTGTGCATTGGACTCAGGACTGCTGAGGCGGATCTTGGGCGTCAATGTCTCACTTGTGTCTTGTCCCCGGAGGAGGCGGGTGCGCAGTGCTGCGGGTGCTCGTACTTCCTGCCTATTCACCGGGGCAACTACTTGATCTATGTCTGCCCTCATTCTGACGTGGCGCTAACTTCTCCGCAGTTACTTCACGAAAGACGGTCAGCGCGGCGTCTGTGTATTCCGACGTCGGAAGACCGTCGACCAGGGACACAGAGGATTCCGCCTCTCGTCCTTGGGCATCCTCTTGGCCAAGTCTGCGCGCCCCCGACCCTGGCGACACACGGCTGCGCTCAAGGAGCTTACGACCTTGATCTACTCCCGATTCGAGAGCTCCGCCTCCCTGGTCCCTGTCGAAAGCGACTGGGATCCGGCGCGCACGTTCTTCAACGAGCGCAAAGCCGTCAGGGCCGACCTTGGCGGAGCGGGAGACTGGAATGGATGGAGCCATGAGCTTCTAGAGCGGGTGAGCTGCTCGTCTTCGGCTCTCGTACACGTTTTGACCTTTACCCAGCTCGACGAGGATCATATAGAGCAGAACCCGGCGATCCACCTGCCCCACCTTCTACGGATTCTCGGCCCTTCCTCGTTGACACTTTACAAGCACGTCGTCGGCCGGCGACGGATCTTGATCTACACCCTACCGCCTGTCGAGGCCGCGTCGATCCTCTGCCAGGTGGCGGCGGACATGTGCTACGAACACCAAGTAGAATACACTACATCCCCTGGGTCCCCTTCGTCCCGCTTGCACGGCAAGTGCAAGGATGGCATCAGCGTCCTCGGGATGGTGACTCTTAATGACTTGGATAGACTGCAGAAGGAGGGGAGCAGTGGGCGGGGCTGGGTCGCATGTACGTTCTCCCCCGTTCCGTTTGTCTTGTTGCTGACACTGGTGTAGGCACGACCGATGCCATTTTCTTGGAAAAGGCGTCGTGCTACGACTTGCTAATCGATTTGACGACATCCACGCCCAACAAGGCTACACGGCCGACGTTTTACTCTTCGCGGCCCGTGCAGCCTGCCTCCCCTTCTTCATCGAGACCGCGGGGACCGACACACCGTCTTTCCGTTGTCCGTTTCTCGTGGAGCGACATCAAGCTGGTAAGCAGCCAATGACGGTGGAATCTCTGCATTGTTTCTCATTGAGCGCACAGTGGAACGAACTCAATCGGATCCTCCAACTTGACTCGTCGGCTGCGCACGACCACTCGTGCTGCTCCGTCGCCTCCCTCTCCCAGGACCCCAAGTCCAAGTCCATCACGGCGTGGACGGACGCATGGCGCGTCTACGAGGACGTGTGCGTCATCTGCGCCGGGCTGTGGATGGGCTCCTGGCGGGGCAACTCCACCATGTCGTACTCGACTGCGGACGGCGCAGCCAATTGGGGCAGCGTGCGCTTGGAGGGCGACGACGACCTCACGCTGCGCGCACTCGGCGCCGAGGCGGCGTCGAGCCCCGGCGGCCACGTGCGCAGCGTGGGGATGGGCATCGAGGGCGGGCCCAAGGTCGGCGCGAGTGGAAGCGCGCTCAGCCCGAGCACGAGCAAGTCGACGCGCCGTTCAAGTGGCATGTCGTGGTCCAGCGGCAAGGCGACCGTGACGTCGCCGACCTCGAGCAGCGCCAAGGGCAAGGGCGCTGCGGCTCCCCCGGCACCGGATGAGAGTGACACGGAGACGTACGAGACTGCGCACCGGGACGGGCAGATCCTCACGACGCTGTCGCTCCTGCAGACCCTTCACGCACACACCGCCTTCCAGCTGTCCACGCTCGAGGCCTTCCTGCCCAAGGACACCGCGCCCACCAAGACCATCTACTTTACGTCGAAGGACATGACGGCGTTTGAGCTTGGGCCCATGAGCGGGATGGATGCGCGGTACTTGGAGTGGCTGGCGCTCGAGTACGGTGGCGGCGCGAGCGTGGTGATCAAGAGGGGATGGAAGGAAATGCTTGGGGCCATCTTTGGCTACGGGTAGAGTCGGCGCGTGGCGCACCTACCGTATTTATCGCTAATTTTTTGTGTATCCACCCTGCATAGTTATACCCGTCGTGCACGTATCAGAATTCATATCGATGTTCTCCTCTTTTCGCGCCCGGTGTGGTGTAACGGTCAATCGAAACCAATATTTGGGCCAGGGTACTGTAACAAAGAAAAATCTCGGATGCGGGCGTAAAATCTAGGATAAGCATTGTTAGCACCCTGACCTTTGCAAATCCATGCAGGGGCTTGCCGTTGGGTAATAATGGCGAGCACTTGGTGAAGACCTTGTATTTGGATCTATTTTGATGCCATCAAAATCCGAGTTCTTCCTGCGAACTTCCCCCCTCGTGCCAGTTGTCAATAGAAGTGCCTCACGGTCGATTTTCTTGTAAACCAGAACCCTCCTCCGGGTTCCAACGCTTTTTCTTCCCAAACTTTAAGAAAAATCGCCTCGCTTCGTGCTCCCATCAAACGGCGATCAATTCCGCATCACAGATCTTCAGACTTCGCCGCTGCGCTCCCATTGGCTCAGAAAATTCTAAAAATATTGGAGGACCCGGAAGACATGTCAATGAGCTTGTGAGCGGATGCCGAGATGATTTTGCCCTCGCAGTTGAGACGCCAAGGTCTAGAATTGCAGCCCGTTATTTAATTTGGATCCCGTTTGTCTAGTTTTCGTCCTCTGACCTTCCCCGTCGACATAGTGCATCCTGGAGACCTCCGAATAGCTCCGGTATGGTGTAACGGTCAACATTACCGCTTTTCAATTTCGAATTACGTAACCAGCTTACGTAAGCCCGCTATTCATCGCGGTAGCTCGGGGTTCGATTCCCCGTACCGGAAGCATACTTTTCTTGCGACGGACAAGGCCCATTCCTAAGTTCTTTTTCTTGCAGATTTGAATCCATGATATGTACCCCTGCTGCGCCCCCGTGGAATCTAGAATATTTCCATGACTGGGGCATGACCACACGGGAATGAATTTGGCTGATCACATGTCGCAGGGTGTTAAGTCCTAACTAAGGTTGGAGTATCTATCTGTACCAATGGATTTCATGCTTATAAGCAATCAATAGATGCAAGGGTGACCCAGCATGAAGTTTGAAGCGACCAGGCTGCGTAGGTGTCCTGGCCAGCAACAAGAAATTTCGTCATCAACCGGAATCATGTTGGCCCATCTTAGAGCAACAATAATCCTTGCAATAATCATGATATCATTCATGGAGCATGAATCGTTCACAACGCAAGGACCAGAACAGGTGATTGGCTATGTGAGGTAAAGAGACGATGGAAACAAAACCACAACGGTTTGTTCATCTGCGGTCAAGTTGAATATTACAGCGCAGAGAGACTCTGTTGGACAGGCATTCAGAGCACTGAGAAGTTAGCGGAAGAGATTATAACCCATATCCTCGAATGTTTCCAGCTAAATCGAAAACGATAGACGTTTTCGATTTTTTGCTGAATTCGGGCCGAACGCGTCATACTCCACTCCAACGCCACCCACCGTACCATCTCGCCAGAACGCTGTTCACAATTTTCCTCCTCAAACCCTACTATACTGCTGGAAGGGTATAGACTACATACCGACTGCCTCTTGCTGAAAAAACAGCTGATTCTGAGACCCTGGACATGAAGGTAGCGGCCATCCAATCGCGGCAAAGGTCACGTGAAGTGACATTTTCGTGACTGATCTGTCCCAATTCGGTGAATTTGGAAAGAAAATGGCCGCAAAAAACATGTAGGTCATTAGGGACAAATCCCTTGCATGAAATCATAGAAATACCTGTTAAGAATGCTCCAATAACAGCACTTAATATCTGGTGCAGGTCTGGGTGAGGAGTTGTCCATACAAGATCACCGGCCTTCAATTTGCATCAACAATTACATTTGTGAATATACAGGGGGGGCTATGATGAGCTACAAGATTGGCTATGGCTACAAGATGTACAAAGAATAAGAATCTTAGACAATACCCTCATTCTCGAGCTCCTCCAAGATAGATAGTGGCAGTACGCGGTGTCCCCGATACTTACGAGCAGCCCAAGCGGCTTGGCGTCCGTTCAGGCCTTTGTAGTATGCATCAACGAACTTCTTCGAACGATTTCCAAACCTGAAGCGAGTGAGAAAAACAGAAGATGAACAAATGATTGATTTGATTACCGGCGCATCACGTCCAGAGGTACTGAGTCCAGCGCTTCTCGGACGTTGCGGTCCAAGTCTTCTTCCCGTGACGACTCGGGAAAGAACCGATAAATCCGTTTGGCATATCCCCAGCATTGCTCAATAAAATTGAGCTCACAGTGGAATTTCGGGAGAAAGAGTACTGAATATCCGCGGGAGTTGCAAGCTGCTTCCAAAAGTGACTCCACTTGGACGAAATCAGGCTGATTAAACAGAGCCCGACGGCAGCAGCAATCAATTGCTGGAGGTGCGCACTTGAAGCCTTTGCATTCGGCATTCTTTTTAGCAATATCCCCGAGCCCGCGTTCTTCCAGAATGATTGCCATACCCTTGAATATTCCAGCATGCTCATGATCCTCGGGAAAATACAAGGACTGTGGCTGTCCGTTGAATTCCGCACCATGCATAGGGACTTTTATCTTTTTGAGGTGTCCGGAGGTCGTATAGACCAAATTTCCATCGGCGTCGCGTTCATTGACGGTAACCAAGAAGTTATTCTTGTATGATGGAAATTTCGGCATTTGACGGGCAGATAAGGAGCCATCGGCGCGTTTCTTGTGGGTAGTAGCATTGTCGTACACGAAGACGTGCTCATAATCAGGGTAAACCTCGTCCAAGATATCCATGAATTCGTCGGCCTGATCAGTGATGTTTTCGCAGGTGAAATACCCGTCCCGGTTCTTCCCAGGTTTCATGAATCTACGCGCTGTCCGTTTACCATCACGCGATGTCGGGGACCATCCGAAATCGACAGACACAAAGTCGGCCACCATAAGAGAAGGACCGTCACCCTTCTTGTGAAGTTTCGATGCATTTTTGTGATACCACCCTTTCCGGCGCCGGTCGTGTGCGTAAAAGATGGATTCGTCGTGATACCAAACAATGACGCGTTTCCCCTTGGGGTACGGCCCAAACTCCAGATGGCCTTCTTTCGACCAATGGTGCATGCGAGCTTCAAGATTTTTTATCCGGGGGATGTATTTCTTCTGACGTTCATAAACAACATCTTCTCGTTCGTGTCCGTCGGTGTATTGGCCTTTTTTAGCTTCCGTGAACCTGTAACCGAGCCTGTGCAAATACCGCCGAGCTGTGCGGTCGGATATCGGCTTGTCGATGCCGTGTTTCTCCATGACATCTGTCCGCGCAAGGTACAGCCTCAGCCCTTCTGTTGTAACATTGTTTCCGACTTCCTGGAGGTAGAGATTTATATCTGCCGTCAAGTCTTCGTCGGCCAAGAGCGACTCATTCCAACTGCCGAAAGGATTGATTGGGAGGAGGGTACGGTCATGGATAAATTGCCGGGTCAATTTGCAGATGAGTCGCAAAAAGTATCTGCCGCGGGCGAGGCCAACAGAAGTCTGCATTGCAGAGGCGCCCCAGTGACCGTAGGTTTTGGAACGGGGATCTGTGTACAGGTTGAGGAAGGTTCGCATGCCCTCCATCCGTTTTCTGACAAAGGGATCTATGTTTGGATCTTTATATCCGTGTGAATGCTCCCCGCGCTTCTCTCCCCGAAGCAGTGCAGTAAGGTCCTTCAGAGCTGCGATGGCATTGGGGATAGTCGGGGCCTCCCGGAGCTTCCCTGGTGCCGAGAACGCGTCAGAAACACCATAAATACGCGTGTACGCGTCCTGTGTTTCCGCATACGCGTCTTGAATGGCCGGATCAGCATGTGCCGCTTTTTCGAATTGAGCCGTTTCTGTGACGGTTTCTGGGTCTGTGTCGGCAAACATCTCCGAGTCAAGACTATCTGTTGAAGTGTTGGGGTGCCGAGATGCCAAGTACGAGATGTCATCGTCGTCGGGAACTTCCTCGACAGTCGCACGATATAATTTGGATTTGGGGCAGGGAGGTGGGGGAGGTAATGAATACTCGTGATAAAATTGAGCTGGAGCCGCAGTCGGTGCCTTGGGACATGAAGTCTGGTAAAAATATGTGCCATACGGAGCTGGAAAGTGGCCGGGAGCGATGCCGGCACCGCGTGAAGTGGGCAAGAAGACATCGGCGTCGGCAGTTCCGGAACAGATGGGATCGCTGGGGAGATCGACGGAGATGTCGGATGGGGATGTTGAGCTCTTAGCCTGCATTCCAAACGAACCTTAGACGCGTCAATGAAGACAAAGGTGGTGCAAACTCACCTTCAAATTTTCTTTCTCTGAATCAGTGTCCTCATTCACTCTCCTCTTTTTCCGCGGGGATAGGCTGTTAATAGCGCGTTTCACGCCCTTTAGAAAGTTCTCAGCACGCGCACGAAGGTGCTTGGCCTTCGCAGGCATGGTGCTGGAGTTTGGCGCAGAATGGACGCGTCGAGATGCAGAAGTAGCGTGTATTTGGGTAATTACGGGACAAATTTTGCTTCTCATCCTTTCCTTCCACATCTTTCCCAGATCGGTTGGTTCCTACTCACATTTAGATACTTTAGCTACAAATTCATGGAGCCGATTTGCTCGGAGTGATGTGCCCATTATTTGCGGGGCATTTCACGATAAATTGCCCTTATTTGGAGGTGTCACACAATTGCACGTGACCTTTGCCGCGATTGGATGGCCGCTACCTTGAGAAGGAAGCGGGAGTGAACTAAATTTGATGCGGATGACGCATTGCCGAGAGCTCCGCCGAATTCAGCTCGAAAATCGAAAACGTCTATCGTTTTTCGATTTAGCTGTCAACTAAAGGTTCGACTATTTCTCCCGGGGTGCCCGCACTGCATCCAAAGCACCAGTGCCTCCCTATTTCACGAATTCTGGAAGACCTTTGCTCTGGAATTTCGACGTGAAATAGGCCGCCAGACCCTTGGCCGCTTTGTCGCCTCAGTCGATTCCGAAGAGTCGGCTATGTGACTTTACGCTTCACAATTGTAACAGTGCCATCATCCTGGAACGCCACCACAATGAGGGAAAGCGTCTGAGCCACCGTGTCGACATCCTCGAGGTCAGCATACAAGTCGAGGGCAGTGAGGGGCGTGGGGGCCATGGGCGGACACCGGAAAGATATACGGTGAGAGTCGCGATGATGGACCCACAAACCTTTGACGGTGACGGTCGCGCGATCAGACGTGAGTGACATTATGAAGATTGGGATAGGGTGGCAGTAAGCTGGCGCTGTGCAGCGCCACATAGTAGTAGAACCAGATAGATGGCTGGGGGAAGGGAAGGAGTAGAGTCATTCAATCGATCGTAATCCGATAATCCCGCCTCTTCCGTATCCATATCCGCGTCATTCCGCGAGCAAAGTATGTCCTGATGCCCCAGCAAAGCCATCCATGTGAATGTCAAACGGCATGGAACTCCTCCAGCACGCGGGGGCGAAAGCAGTCCGTCGGTAATGATGTCGATGGCGCGGGTGTTATACGTAGCGCAGTTTGTCCTGGACGGGGTAGTCAGCACCTCGAAGTGGCAGCAGCCGCGGAGGGGATGACGCACGAAGTGTAAAGCACGGCGATCACGCCCCGGCGTCGAGGCGCTCCCTGCGTCCGAGCACGCGGACAACGCGTGGGCTGACCGAGCGCCGCGGCCGGGCGCTCGACGAGCCTTGCCTCCACTGCCGCCGTTGCCAGGGCCACCGCCGCGCTCCGTCTGCGTGACCGTGCGTGACCCTGCGAGGACGGCGAGGGCGGGGTGCCTGCCCCATTCGCAGCGCCCGCGGCAGGGGACTGGTAG